AAAATAAATTACTTTCAAAAATTGCAATTGCCCGCAGTTGTTACAACATATTACATTTAGAGTAACATCTTACATTCCTACTAACAACTAACAAGTAACAACAAACATCCATTGTACTATTGTACTATTAGTATCCCTACCATGGCATTTTTTTAACAGATTTTATTATGTTATTTAGAAACTAATTAAAAGCCCATAGGTACGATGAATATTTATAATTCGGAAATTCCCATTGCTCAACTTGTTTTTAACCATTGATAATCTCTGTATTGCATAAAAAAGTATTGTAATTCAAATTCAAAATATTAGGTATTATATACGAAATAAGATAATAATACTATATAAATATATTGTTTTACATAAGGTATTTAAATTCAAATTTCTAACTATTTTGATCAAACCTTCTCGAAAACCCAATTTAAATCTATTTTTTAATCTTCAGCTAGGTTGATATACCTATATAAAATAATATAATTACCAATTACAATTTAACGATTTTTCAGTAATCAATATCATAATATTATATTATAATAAAAGATATTTTTTATTTTTTGAATTTGACTGCAAAGATGTCAAATAATTATTTAAACTTGTGACATTGGGAAATTTTTAGGATTTCAAAAATAAATAATTATTAATTACAATAATTTGTGTTGTAATTTATCAGCGCGACAGCACATGAGGTTTTACCTACTATAATTCTGTTATGATTCAGAATAGTCCATTATCCCAAAATATATTTTAAAGGTTTACCTATCTATCATGTGTAAATTGTGTGTTGGTATTTTTTGTAGTATAAATAAAATTGTTAATAGATTTTTTAAATTTTTTTTATAAATATTATTTCGGGCAAGCATAGTGAAGCATAGCAATGGGCAATGGCAAATGCATACGGATAATTATGTATCCTGCAGACGTTTTCTATGGTGTTGGTGCGTTCAGCCAAAACAAAAAAAAATTTTCGATTATTATGGAACACACTATATAAATTATCGATGCATATATAGATAGATAGGCTACTTAATGCTCAGTATTCTGACTTTTAATTTTACTGTTTGAGTCTATATACACTTGTGTGATTTCTTTCACCGTCGCCTGCATTTTCTCGAGATTTCATATCAATTCTCATTCATATCATAATATATTGATATAGATGCACTTAATGCCCGACGGTGTGTAAGCCTATGTATGTCTGTGTGGCTGTGTCTATCTGTAATTACAACGATACGTTATACGGCGCGATGATAGATAGTTGTTCGTCTACGAATTATGAGGGTGGCGAATCGTTTATTTTTAAACGAATTCTATTCGTTTGGTTTCGTTCGGAGTTGGGACGCGCTTCGAGTAAAAATAAAAAGTACAACACCAATAATAACGCATACCTACAACATAACACTATTAATAATTGTCATTATTATCCAGTTATATACATAGGTATTAGGTAGGTAAGCGTAGTTATGGTAATATCGCGTTTGCGGTGGCGTATTTCTATTGACAGAGAGGTGGCGGTAAAAACACACCCAATTACGGGACCCGGTCCAATCCTTTCGTACGGACGTAAAAGAGTAAAAAAAGAAAAAGTGGAAGAGGAGAAAAAAAACCGACACGCACACGCGAGCGCTTTCGGTGGGCGTGTATCGCGTCGCGAACCGTCGCGTGCCGTCGTGCACCGTCGGCGACTGTAGACGGTGGCGGAGGGGGCCAACTCGTTGGGGTAGGTTAACCGAGCCCGCGGCAGCAGAATATGAACCTGCAATAATCGCCGCCACCGACGCGACGTACAGACCGGTCCGTGCAGTGTTCCTCAGTTGTACTTGTGCGCTTTTTGTGTGTCGGTCACGTGCGGATATCGCACAAACGTTTTGATTTGTTCACATCGTATATCTGTTATTGTCTCCACGCAGTGTTGCATCTATACAGTAGAAACAATATTGGCATCTATTTTATAGAGGCTTGCGTCGTTCGCATTTATAGTAATTATAAATATAGTGCCCGAACGACTTCGGGCTCGTCCGACTTTCGTGGATTTTATATCATTATTATAATAATTAACTTTTTATCGTCGTCGAAATGCTGTTAATCTTGAATAGTGATCCGTTGTTGTATCCGTCGTCACCGATCATGATGTCGACGATTTAAATCCAGAAGAAATTCGTCCACCACAGTGTCCAAGACCTCACTCTCACTACTTACCAGCCTGCTCGACCTACAAATGACTTATTGTTGATCGATCATCAGAGAAAACTCACACGCTTAAACAGTAAGTTAACAACATTTATGATTTTTATTGCAATTACCTATTATTAGAACTTTAGTTATAAGTTTTTTTTTTCTGCGGGCGATCTCTACTACCTACTACTATACGTAAATAATATTATTGATAAAAATGAATTCCTATTTATGAGACTATAATTATACTTCAGTGATAGACCCCCTTATGATCAAACACCCATTTCAAATAATCCCTAAATTGATGGTTGTATAGAGGGAGTTGATCAAACAGAAGGGATTTACCGTCTATACGAGTAACCCTTTATAAGTACGCGCACCCTTTAGTCAATTCTCCAAATTTTTAGACTGGCTTTATTACAGTACGTCATATTGTTTTCCAATTGAAACTATTCTCGGTTTCTTATGGAGTAAATATTGTGTTTATGTTCACATTAAAATATATAAAATATATATTTATTTCTCCATTATAACCTCGATTATAACGCTTTGTTTAAAAATGCGTGTGTTCTCTTGTATTTCTTATGTACCTATTTCTATCGATATTCCATGTTAATTAAAAATCAACAGATCAACTCGTACGATTTATTTTTAATAATTACGAAATTCCCGGTGGATAAAGAACAACCAATTTAATTGAAAGACACTCCTATGCCTATGCAATGGTTATATTTATATATAGATAAAAAAAGCTACCCAAACACCGGTTCAGCGTGTTTTTTCAATAGGCATCACTGATAAGTTAACACGATGTTTATTCTAGGTAGGCACCTCATTAACGAGTAACGACATATTGCGTTTGATTTCGAATAGAATAGTTGTTTAGGAAAAAAAACTACAATACATTTTAAACGTTAGGTGAGTTCTTATCGACGTTTACATTTTTAGCCAATGGAGACTTTTATCGCAACAATGAACAAGTATACCTGTACATTTAAATGTAGCATTGTAGCATACACCAAGTACTGAAGTACCTATCATGATCATAATATAATATTGAAGCATATTTTTAAATTGTTATGAAATCTAAGTAACCCTCTATAATTATACCTATTCCCCATTTTGTTTTTGAGTGTTTTTTGAAATAAATAAAATATCTTGACACAAATTAACATATTATTATGGTTTACTTACCTATAATTTAATGGTAAGTAAGTAATATTGTAATGTCGTAATTGTTGAACTATTAAGATACTCTTCTATGATAATAATTGTCGTATTTAATATAAAATATATTAAAAATGGATGTAATAAGTTAAGTGTTTTGTTTAAACATTAGTTTTTATATGTTAACTACCCCACTTTTTCAAACAGATGGTTAATTGAAACTATTGACTGTTTAACAATTGAATGATAATTGCTGACTAATGCTAAATACTATATACCATTGTCTATTCGTAAAACTCGTATACAGTTGATATCTAATATCTATTAATAAATTAATTGAATCTACTTACATACCTGATTAATATAATTCAACAGAAATTAAATTATTTATTTATCTTAAAATATTACATAGTTACCAATTTTTATTTATAGAAGTCCTAGATTAAAAATATATGATAAATAGTTTTATGATTATACATTTTAAAACTTAAAAAAAATTATGATTTTAGTAATAATTAAAACAAATAGAAGGCATACACTGATTTCATTGAAATATCATCAATATAGGTGGTGGTTATTTTATATTTTTACACAATAGGTACTTAATACAAATATAATAATATATACCTATTTTATTTATTTATTGAATTATCTTATACTCTAGACACAATATAAGTTCATGAATATCAAATACACATACGTTATGAAATTAAATATCGTGACATTATTTTTTTCATCAGGTTCATAAATAACTAATCTACAATTTTGGAAAGTTTTATTTAAGATTCCGAATGCATTTATACCGTTATTTTTGGTAGATTCCAATTTCCAACCGAAAAATATAAGTCGTAAAAATAATGTTCAATTTTCAGCAAGAAAGCTCTCACTTTTCTTTACTTATTTTTTTCTTCCCCTCGCGTGCGTATTTATCCTCTGCTCACTCACTTCTCGTCCATCTCTTTTTCTTTCACCCCAAATGAAAACCATTTTCTTCGAAACCACACACACACACACACACACACGGAGACGATTCCGAGAAAGAAAAAGGAGTAGGACACGCGGAATACGACGTACCGAGTGGTGAAATGTGGGGGTTGGTGGCGGTAGTAGAAAAAAAGGAAGGAAAAAAGTATGCACGGCGGTGGTGGTTTCTATCCCGATCATCCCCTTCCCTTATTCATTAGAAAGAGGGGCCCCGTGCTTGAAGAGGCATTTATTTTATGGCTTTTTGTTTTGTCCAGGGAACGGTCGGCCATTTTTCCGCCCCGCGCGCACCGTCGTCGCACACGCCGCGCACACCGTGGCGGTGAAAACAAAAATGAAAAACTCGACCCTTGCGGCGAAAACGATTTTTTACCCGCTCGCTTGGCCTTCTTTCACACTGCGTCCCCCGGTCCAATCAATACCGGCAATCATCGCTTCTCTCTCCTCTCGATGCTCATATATATATATAAACACGACGACGTCATGCGCCCTAAAAGTCGCCGGGGCTTTTTTTCTTTCTTCTTATTTCTCTTTTATTCTATTTTTTTCCCCTTCGCGACCCTTAAAAATCAATTCGACGAAATATTTCGCCTGCCGTGCACGTTATACACTACGTCACACCAATATACGCTTATAGGATGTATTAAAAACGTTTTGTTTCTTTGTCGTTTTGCAGAAAAATGTTTTTGGAAAACGAACATCAGCCCATTATTAGCCATTCACCTTACGACCTAGCACGTCCACTTGAACACCATCACCATCATCACCTCAGCCATCACGCCGCGACTAATCATCTCCAGTCGGGCACCGACCACTTGCAAGAAGATTCGGAAGGTCGGAGTACGGCTAGCTCTCCGACGTCCAGTTACCGCGACCTGTCCGGGTGCGAAGACTTTGATCTGAAAATCCCGAAACCGTCTGGTCACGGGTCTGGCACTGGTGGGAATAACAACAACAATAACCACAATAACAACAACAACAAAGAACAAAAACCGAAAAAGCACAAGTGCAAACACTGTGGGCTGGAGTGTACGGAAAAGGTGCAGTACTGGAAGCACATTCGCACTCACATCAAACCTGAACAGTTGCTGGAGTGCCCAAACTGTGAGTTCGCCACCGACCTGAAACACCACTACGAATACCACCTGCTGAACCACACAGGCGCCAAGCCGTTCACGTGCCCGGACTGCGACTACAAGTGCGTGAGCAAGTCGATGCTCCAATCACACCTCAAGTCGCATTCGAACGTGTTCCAGTTCCAGTGTTACGACTGTGGTTACGCATCTAAGTACATGCACAGCCTCAAGCAGCACCTGAAGAAGCGCGACCACCGGCCGGCTACGCCGCTCAACCCAGACGGTACGCCGAACCCGGACATCGTCATCGACGTGGTGGGCAACCGACGCGGGCCGCGGCAAAATAAGAAACAAAACCGGCACAATCCGTATCAGCAACAGCACCAGCAGCAACAGCTCCAACAGTCTATGACCGTGTGTTCGTCGCAGGACGACGGCGGCAGCAGTAGCGGCGGACACCCATCACCGTACTCGATGCAACAGCTGTTGCAGATGCCCGCTTCCGGATGCGCCCAGGTCACTTATCCGACCTCGGCCGAGTCGTTCATGTATTCGATGATCACCAAACGCTCCATAGAGATGGTTGACTACCAGGCCGCCGAATACATGGCCATCAAGAACAACAACAACAATAATAACTCCTCGTCGGTCGATGATAAGATGGAAGTGCAACAGCACCACCAACAACCACTACAACACCACCACAGCAATCATCACCATAAACGCGGCCATCAGTACCATTCAGATGACGTGCTGAAAGTGGATTTGGCTGGGCGTAGCGGTAGTGGTGGTGAACTGACGCCCGAACCACAGGTACCCGTGTTGGCGGTCGCCGATCCTTCGCCACCGACCGTCGTTTTGGCCATCGAGACGGGACCGTTAAACTTAAGCAGAGACTCGGTGGCTCCTCGCGCCGCGGGCAGCAGCCGGCGCAAGGGGATCGCGTGCAAACTCGAGCGGCCGGCTACCGAATCGCAGCCCAAGTCTGTGCCGGTGCCGGTGGTGGTTGTTCCGGTGTCGCCTGAGGTACCGATGGATTGCAGTAGCGAGTCAAGAGGAATGGTGGAGGAGACTTTGATTCCGGTAAAGGAAGAATATCAACCGTACCACCACTACATCAGCAGCAGCAGCAGCAGACGTCGTCGTTGTCTTCGACGCCCGAAAAAGAAGACAAGGAAGACGAGACGCACGTGTGCCACCATTGCGACATAATATTCAAGGAGAACATCATGTACTCGATGCACATGGGTTTCCACAGCTTCAGGGACCCGTTCGCGTGCAACCTGTGCGGCGAGATAACGGCAGATAAGTTTTCGTTTTTCGCTCACATAGCGCGCGTGCCGCACAGTTAGGCTGCAATGAGGATGTGCACCTACGAAATAATAATAGAGTACAAATTTTAAAACAATTAACCCTTTAGGTATGTAGTATAGGATTTATCGTAAGAAAAAATAAAAACAGATTAAGAATATAAAGTAATGTTTGATAGGTACTATATTATACACCTCTTTCTTTTTAATAACTGTACCCCCCCACCCCCAAACCTAAGTGTGCAGTTATGCCACACCCATGCTTCGTACAAATGAAAATCGTTTTTGGTGCATAGCTAAAAACGATTTTAATTTGTATACCTACGCGGCCGGTGTTGTTGATCGGTTCCGGTTCTTAAACGTTGATTTAAACTTATCAACGTTTAAGAGTCGGCCCCGTGACTTCAAATCGTGATTGCGCACATTTAATTGTTGAGTATCGGTTTAAATAATAATAGTTGTTTAGTTGTTTATCGTTTTAAATATTTTTTTCTCGTTATATGTTTCTCGGAAATAAAATTTTAATTATGTTTTAATTTTCTTTTCGAGCAATGAAAGCCATCGCTGATTTTAGCGATTTAAAAATGTTTAACTCGTGTCCTCATAGTTAAGCACAAATTATTAGTTAATTTGTTACATGTAAATTTTATTATCCTTAAAAATAACTTTTTTAACTTTCCAACTACCCAAGATTGAATTAATAATGAAAAATATTGAATTTTTTTACGTTTAAATACCGTAATACCTCATCTTCTCCATTATATTTTATTGTTTGGTCTAGTCGTTAAACTATTTCTCCTCGTATACTATAGTTTAGTATCGTGTATACTTATGCACTTATGATAGATACTATTAAAAATAAAAAATGAAAAAAAAAACTATTGGTTTTTTGTTTGTTGTGATAAGGTTGTTTTATGACGGAATAATATCGTCAAATTATATAAGTATAAATTAAATTAAACTGATCTGCCGAGTGGGCATTCTTTTTTTTAGATTTGTAAATTGTACATGTTAAAAGTAAGAAAGTATATGAATTTTATTGTTGGTGCTTGAATGTCTTGTATAAAAAATCTCAATCACGGCATTAATGGAAGATCTAGTCAATCTTACCCTTACGTCTCTCCAAAATATGCCCGTCTGTATGGCGCGTGCGCAGGATTCTACTTTGTGCAAGATCGGCGAAACTCCGAAAGTCATCTGTGCGTTTTGTAGTCGCACAGTGTTAGGCCCCCGCGCACGCGTCCTTTCATACGCATCAGGATTAATTCTTAGAAATATATAAATATGTCTGTAAATATTCATTTCATAATATGTATTGTTATTGCACTACATAATAATAATTATAATATTATATTTTAATGTAAACGCATCAACAATGATATAACACTTGTTGACGTTGTTATATAACCAATAATATTATTAATTACATCTAAATTTTTGTCATTTTTGTAACTAGATTGTTCGTAATCTCAACCCTCTCCTCCCTCATACTGTGATTTTAATTAAGACTAAAAATATCTTGAAAATGCCGTCTTGGATTGTAATAACTAATTGTAACAAACCATCATATATAATGTAATAATGAATACACATCTTGTATAAGATTGCGCCGTCTCGCTCGTGTAACTTTAAAACAATATATATATATAATATACCGCGTGGTGAAGAGGCCTAAAGTCTGATCTCTGTATAGCAATCTAACGTTTTTGTCACTTCGGTCGTCTTATTTTATATGACAATGACATATTATATATATATATATATTTAATAGGTATACAGTTTATTATATTATTATGTATAGGTACTCTTATAATGAACTGTTTTACTATGTAAATAAATATCTCTATGCAAACATAGGTGAACTTGAAAGGTTTTTTTTGTATTATTTTATTTAGATTATCTAATTTTATTTATAGTTGAAAAATACTACATGTACTATGTATAATATAAATATTATGTGCCAAAAAGTTTAATAATTATCATACTTATCATATAATATTTGTTTGAAGAGAATAAACGTGTTTACGTTTTCCAATGAAAAAAAAAATGTTTTTATTTTATTTATTTTGATTTTTTAACCCACTTATTATTTCCTACAGTTATCGCCGCCACGTTGATCATAGAACTATGATTAATACACAGTCGTTAAGGTCGTCGCGAAATAATGTGTATTTTTGTCTTTTGTGTTTGAATAGTTATTTAGATAATATTAATTATTATTTATTATGCCATTATGATATGGATCGGTTTGGAAATCTGAAGAAAAATGGATAGCAGCCACAGTCACGTGCCATAATCTCTCATAAAATATTATTCTCCCGTTTCCATAATATTCATTGATAATTATTTTAGCAAGGTAAAAACGGATTCTACTCGCGATTTCAAACCGACCGAAAATAATATTCTCTGCTCTATGGTACGAAACGAGTAACGACCATAATAAATATAATACCATCACGAGACCTCGAGGGTAGTCGGTGTGTCGCGCCGACTACCTGTGCGTGTGACTGTGATAAATTTCATGTACCTGACGCTTGTCAATAGCGAACCATGGCTGTCAGTTAAACTGTGTAAAACGAGTGTTCGATGCGTGCACCGACCCGAAAACGCGTAAACAAAACGATTTCCGAGTTAAAAGGGGTATAAAAAGAGGACGATGACAACGACGACTGCCCCGGGTTCTGTGAACGAGTATTATTATTCTCTTAATAATATATACGGTGGTCGCAAAGATGAATTGGGTAAAAGTATGCATTATAATAATATATTGTTATGCGTCTATACGGCAGCGTATAAAGAAATACGTAGAAGTATAAAATATAAGTTTCACGTATGCATTTTGTGACTGGAAATAAATGAATACCTCCTGTACACCGAACAATGACCACACCGCTTCAGCTACCACCTTCCTTATTATTGTTGTGTGTACCACGTTTTTGTGCTTCACATTTTATGACATATTATGTATTTTTAACAGATCTCGAGAGTGGAACTGAAATATAGTCTATAGCGTAAGTGAAACTTACTATTTTTTGTATAATGACATAGTGTATTTGATACGTGCTATGGGATTGGGAATTTTAAATTTTATTATTTTAAACACTCATTGGTAAGTATTGAAATTTATTTTTGATTATGTTGTACTTGTAATACGATAATTCAATAATAGGCACATCAAATCTACAAACAAATATTTATTCCTTTAATAGTAAGTTTTTTTGTAAGTAATTAAAATCATTTATAATTATAATTTTTTCAATACATAATTTTCGCGAAAAATGAAACATTAGACGTTAATATACGACAATACTTCATTAATTACGGTTCGGTTCGTACACGTCTGGATCAAAAATGTTTTAATAATTATAACTTATGAATATTATTCTTGGACGGAATGAAACTTATTTCTGGGAACTGCAACATTCGTTTTATTTAATGGTCTTTAATGTATACAGGCACAATATGGTTCTTATTAAATAAACATAAAAATTATTCGGAGAATATTACGAAAATAAAATAGGTATTAGTAATAATTGTAGATAATTTAATTTTGATTTAGTTTTTAAAACTATTATTAGAGTAATAGGTAAAACTATTTAGTTTTTAATACAAATCTTATAAATGAACTTCATCGGTATGTTTAGGTATTAATTATTAGAATATTATATAATATACCTCGCAGACCGTCGACTAACGAGTCTATAATGATTTCTTTTTGTTTGCCTTAGCTTGAAAAAATAAATAAAAACCATTTTTAAAATGTTATCTCCCTTAGGGCCGTTCTTACAATGTCCGGTAAAGTGTCGGTTAACGCTAACCGACTGATAACAGATTTTATTACCGGCAGAATTCTTCCGGTTAAGTGTCGGTTAACTTTAACCGGACGTCGTAAGAACGGCCCTTAGTGTTAATTCGATTTAGTGATAACTTATGATTTCCAAATGGACCTAACCCATCATAGTATCATACTATAGTTTTAATTTAGTTAATTCTCAAAGATTATGTTTCTAAACGTCCGTAAAAGTGGCCTAATAGTATTTTGAAGTTAGATTGGATCAAAATAGAAAGTAATTGATATGAAATGTTTATTATTGTAATAATATTAATATAAACCTATAGTAAAATTGTTATTACTCAAATAATTATGATCAGAAAAAAACCCCTTTGGGCTTTGAGAATTTAAAATTAAAATCGAGGACGGACATCAATTTAAAACTATAGTTCATTGTATAATTGTATAATTTATCATTTATCATTTTATAATACGACGTATACAAAATACAAATTTAAAATTTAATATCAACAAAACGTTTTAAAATTATGATGATTTTTGTTTTATTTCACTTTTTGTTATTTTTATTATATATGTATAGAACTTCGCTAGACACCGACATGACGATTTATGTCAATCGATGCGTTTATATCAATTTCATTTCGGTCGGACCGAATTTATGGCTACGGTGGCGGCGGTTGGTCGAAAAATGTATTACATTTTTTCAGTCCGGAAAAATTCTATTCACGTCGAAGTTTTTATAATTTTTTTTACCACCGACGCCTCCATTCGGCTCACGCGATTGGCCGCTCTAGTCGCCTCCGGTGTTAATAATATTATGCTGAGCGACGGATATCATGGGGGAAGCGTTTTTTTTATGTATAGTTTCATATAGGTACATCGCGAGCGTAAAAAAACAACATCCGGACGTAAAAAAATCCCCTCGACAAAATGGCGGCCGAGGTGGAAAATGGGTTAAGGCGAGGGGTGCATGTGTTTTTTTAAGCGTTAAAAAAAAACTCGCTCGAAAATGGCCGTGCCCGGGGCCAATAACAAGACGACGCTCGTGTCTCGTGCCGCCGCATTACGCGTAAAAAAAATAATGTAAAATAATATAATAGGTATAGTAATAATGACGACAAACAAACCGTCCGTAACCGTACAATGAAAATACAACGCGAACGCGAACAAAACCGAATCTCGTTTTTTTCCCCCTTCGGATGTTGCGCGTGCGACGGGGCCCACAGCAAAAAAGGAAAGAAAAAAATCG